AATGGAGGGGAAGTGCTGTGTGTTGTATGGTGTCCAGCCCCCTCTAGTGGACAGAGGGGATATTACATGGCTACTGGGGAACAAGAAGGTAAAATAAGATATTCCTTTATTTGATTTAAATCCGGTTGTTACAGCAGCACAGGGACAGATAAATAGAAAAGAAAATCTAGAATTTGACAAATAAATAATGAAAATGTGTATGAAATAAAAATAGGAATAGAATTGATTCCTATAGAAAATTATAGATTAGTAACAGCAAATTCAACAAAGTATATGTAAGACTAACATGATACCGTCAGCTATAACATTGTACACAAGAATATTATATGTGATTTCAAACAGACAGACAGACTGATACTACTAGAGACAAGGTAATGAGCAAAAAACTATACGATAATTATCAACAGTAATTTAATAATAGCTTAAAAGAATTGTGAGAACATTGAGTATTGTAGAGCTGCAACTAATAATTATTTTAATATTGAATATTGATATGTTAAATGTTTCAATTCTTTCTGTTGGATAATAGTCAAGTAGTTGTTTCGATGCACCTTGGTGTATAGTTTTACAATTTACTAAAAATGCACTCTCATATCTGTCCAGTAAATTCAGGACTAACCGGTTGCTTAGTTCAGCACAAAGGACTGGAAACAGGGAGAAACAGCTTGTCTGCTTCTGTCTAAAGAAAATCTACCAGCACCTCTAAAGCTCACTGAACATGCTATATAGTACCTCTATTACCTCTACTTGTTTAATCGCCTCCAATAAACATGGTTTTACATGGGGTTATGTGCTGAATTATTTCTTCAGGAGTACTAACTTCCTGGAGATTGTTAACATAAGTTTCTTTGTTAAAAGGAACTCCAAAATGAATGACACTCCATGTGATTCCTTTAAAGGATCAGTTATAACAATTAGCAGGATCTATATAATATTCAGAGGTATGTTTTCATTACTGTATAATCACCTGAAAATAAGAATCATTGTGTTTTCGTTACCATATAATGAGCCGTTTATATCTACAAACGCAGCGGGTCACCATCCATAGTGGCTGCCATGTTGAATTGCCACCGCTACAGTAGCCCAGTGCGGACTAACCAAACACTGCCTTTAGAAAGGGCCTTTGGCTTTTTTCGCGGCCAACATAGTTTCTACTACACACTTCACAGCCCGTTGTCATTCCCAGGTTGTCAAATACAGACGCGAGCAGTGTTCAGTCAGCTGCAGACTGCAACTTAACAGCTACATACTATATTGTCCACCACTGTTGTCTGCAGTGAGATAATGAGGACACAACAGCAGTAGTTTGTATAACAGAGACAAAGAGGGAGACAGTGTATAGGACTTACAGTCACGTTTCTATGTGAGGAACGATCAGAAGAGAGGAAGAGAGTGAGACGGACAGAAAAAAAAAGAAACGTGGAGGTGTGTGATGTGTGTGATGTGAAAGGTCAGAAGATCAGCAGTGCTGTTTGATCCCCTCCTCTGTTTTATCTCTCCCTCTCACACTGTGACGTGGTGTCACAAACTCAAACAGATTTTCAAATGTGGCCTCCAACAAAACCACATGCACACACACACTGAAAAGCTCTCTAACCTGTCACCTTTCTACAGTGCCAGGCAGTTGCTGTTGTCACTACGTAAGATTCAGACTATCGAGCTTGTTCGCTGAGATTTCTCAAGCCAGTTTTAAAGCTCTCTGTTAGTGTTGATTTCCATGACTGAGTGTCCAGTCTTTTAAAGTTTGGATCAGGTTAGACTTTAAATCCAGGATCTCCAGCAGTTTTCAGAGCAGCTTGTTAGCCTTATTGTTGTGGTAGTTCAGGTGCATTATGGGAGCTGTGATGGCTGCTCTCTCTGTGGAGGCCAGGAGGCGCCTCTCTCGGCCCAGCTGCCTCTCTCACTGCGGCCACAGCGCGGCCAGGTACCATCGCTCAGGTAGGCGCTCATTCACCTCCACATTATCTGTCTCTTCATTCACTCTTTTTGTCCGTATGGGCTACTTCATCACTCTCACTCTTCGTCTGTCATTTTCTCCTTTTTCTTCTGATCTTCGTAGTCAAACACTGTGTTCAGTTGTATAAAATCATTTCTCTCTGTAGTAGAGATTAGTTAGCTTAGAGTTTCTGTTGGTTGTGACTGCAAATATTAAACACATCACTTCTTATATTCCAGACGAGTGGTAGTGTATTCACTGTACAATGCTTTATTTGAGTATTTAAATTTAATATGCCTTTACTCCACTACATTTCAAATGTTGTTACTGTGTTACTTGTAAGATTTTATACAAAAAACATATAATAGGTTGATAAACTATTGTTATAGCTTAAACTATTCAAACGTGAAGTAATCCGTACTCTTCAGTCCCAAGAGAAACAAGACTTGAGGTTGAATATTTCACTCAGTGTAAACATATCTTCAATGAAGAGTTGTAAAAGATATCAACCATAATGCTGTTTAAAAGGAAATAAACATTTAACATCTGGGGTTACATTTAGCTCCACCTCGACCAGCTGCAACATTAAAAGGAAGCTTAGATCTGTAGTAATAATCTAACAATCATATTTAAACTGTGTAAAACTAATAATGAGTTCTTTTACTTGTATTAATTATTTTAATTTTGAAGAAAACATCAATATATGGCACCAGGTAATTCTAAATCTAAACATTTAAGGGTCACAGGAGTCCAACTATATAAAACATTGTGTAGAACATATAAAACAAATGAATGAATAGAGCTTCCAAACTTAAATCTAACAAGAATAGATGCTTTCTCTACTATTGCATTGACCTAACGTTTCAAATCTGGAGCTTTGGTATCTCTCCAATGCCTGAAAATAATGTAATGGAGTACTTTTACTTTTGATATTTTGAGTACATGTTGTTGCTACTACTTGAGTACTTTTACTGAGGTAAAACTTTGAATCCAGGACTTATTTGTCACTTTTATTTACGTAAAACTTCTCACCGCATAGTTTTTAGCTCAAGTTTTCATGAATCGACTGCTGTCTGAATCCCTTATGAGTGAACAATAACGAGCTGCCTTTAATTGATGTGACAATAGTGTAGAGTATTACAACTGCAAGGAGTCTTTGCTCATGATTTTTCAAATACCTCTACACATGTTTAAATGTCAGTTCTTCCTCTGCGACTGAGGTGATTCTGCTGATGTGTCTGATTGAGAGGAAACACTCTGGGTCCTCTCTCCCTGTTTACTGAATGTTGTGTCAGCAGGCAGCGGCAAGCTTTCCTTTTAAAAACCTGTTAGTGTCCTAATGGCCTACCCAGAGGAACAACCACACACACACACACACACACACACACAAACTCACTATATGATATACAAGAGAGCAAACTCAAATGCATATAAATAACCCCCAAAAGATTTTCCCCTAAAGCGTCAGATAATGCCCACATACCTACATGCATGGTGTGTGTGTGTGTGTGTGTGTGTGTGTGTGTGTGCGTGGATGCCTGTCACTTGATCCACTCTCCTCCACAAAGTGATAACTGAAATGTAAATTTGACCTTCATCGGACACCACAGGCTCTGAATAATTAAGGAATAGTAACAGTGGAGACTGAAAATAGATTTGTGATTTCATTACTGATGGTTGATTTGGATTTTTCTGGTAAAGTGTAAGTAGCAGAGAAAGAGAAGGGAAAGCTCCACCACCACCGCCCTGCCACAAAGATATTGATCTCTCTCACTCTGGCCTCCCATTTGTGTCTCCTATCTCCAACCAAGTCAATGCATCAACACACACACACACCACACACCCCACACACACGCTAACACACCACACACACACACCAACCAACACACACACACACACACATCTCCATTCTTATCTTGATGCATTAGTAAGTGTAGAGTCATCAGCTATCTACAACTACATGTATATATTGTTCCATGTTCTCTACAGACAACTGTTGCACATATTCCAGGAATTATTAAGATGTTGAGACATTAATAATGTAGTAATACATTTACAATATTCCAGCTTGTTCTTCACACCAACACTGTGTTCAGTTCGCAGAGAAAAGGAGACGAAGGAGAACAGAGTTGAGGAAGAGTTGGGAGGTGGGGTGTTCCTGCTATTTGATCTGTGTGTGCGTGCCCACATTACACATATTTGGGTAATTTGACTTCACCCCTCAACTGTAAACTGTAGCAGCTAAGGAAGATGTAATCAGAGGGCTTTATTGATTGGCCATCCCTAGTGCCTTCCTGTCAGAGTCAGAAAGTGGGTGAGTGGTTATTTGCTTGTTAATATCATAGATGGATTACTGAGTACAGGGCCCAGGGCCAGACCAGAACCTCTGTATGAAGCAACTGCTAACAAAGTAAATCAAGAGACTACAGAGACACAAACTCCAGATGCAAAGTGATGGACAAGAGGCACAAAATGACCACAGAGAGATGCAAAACATACACAGAGAGACGCATAATGATCATAAAGAGACACAAAACTGTCTCGTTCAGTCTGGGGGTCTTGCTCCTTTGTAGGAGGGGTGGGGGTCCTCTTACATATCTGTGTCCAGGGGCCCGTTGTCCTACATTCTGTCGATGGCTGTAGGCTATTTGGAGTAAAAAATAGCAGCTATTAATTGATAGTCTTTCACAATAGAATATTTTGAGTTGTTTATTTGGCATTCAATTCCTCACAGTTAATGATCGCTAAAATACAGAGCTTTAAATTTTAAACTAAACACGCAATACTACAAAAAGAAAACCTCCCCTGAAGAGGTGGATGTGATGGAGAAAGGAGGGACAGTTTGGAGCAGTCAAGCACAAGAGGGAGTCAAGCAGAGGGAGAGAGAAAGTCTGCGGTTGGCCAAAGTTATGGAATGACAGAGGGGATGGAGGGAGGAGGAGGAGGAGGCAAGCTCCGGGGCACAAAAGCGAATCAGATGAACAGACAGAGAAAAAGGAGGAGTGGAGAGGAGTAAGGAGAGACCACAACAAGGACAGGATGGAAGGTTTAGGGTGGACAGGGCACTTCAGTTTTAAACCTCAGCCGGAGTGAGTATTGACTAAGTGAGTCGAGGGAGGAAAAGTTGCAACTAGAAGCAGCAACAGATAAACTCAGGAAGCTGCAGAGAGAGAGAGAGAGAGAGAGAGGGGACTGATGGAAAAGTATGTGCGGAGGAGGTAGACACCTTGGGAGGAGGTTTTATTTCCCACAGCTCCTCTCAGTTTCAGGATTTCCCTCCCTGGACATTGCTGCTGCTGCTGCTGCTGCTGCTCTAAGTGCCTTTTCTCCGGAGCCATACTCTTCCATATCTGGAGCTGGATTTGGACAAACAGTCAAGTGAACTGAATCATACGGGACAGCAACGCAGAACCCGAAGTTCAACTATTTGCGGTTAAATTAAGTCTGTTGCCAAAGGCGTTTGGTGGACCAGAGGATTACTGACAGTTGTGAGAGAAATGCAGCAGGAGTGAGCAGAAAAAGTGGTTTCTTGGCTGATATAATCATCACAAGTCCCATAAGTAAATGCCTGATTAATGGTTTTGATCATCTGGAAAGAACAGCCTTGTTTTAGCCAGTTTTCACTTTGCATGAAATTTAGTATATTGACTGACAGGTCTGTGTTAAAAGATTATCACATCCTGAATAATGTGAGCAGATGCCACTCGGACTAGAAAGACAGATTGTCCTGCACTTGCAGATAAAGAGTATTTACAGCATGTTTTTGCTCCAAAGCTGAGGTTTCAGAAATCGCTTGTGTGGTCGGATATAATGGGGTAATTTACTAATGTAATGCTAATGCTATTTTGCCGTTTTTATGGCATGGAGGATGAGAAGACTTTGATATTTCAGCTTCTGTTTTGTATTTCAATAAGTCAGCTGTATTCACCTGGACTTTCTCCCACCTAATGGGAGGAAAATGATGAAAATGGACAGAGGCAAATTCTTTGCTGTTCCCAAAAGACATTTTCATCTGAACCTAAGATGTGATTCATGAGCGTAAACTATGACGTGAGGACTGATAATAGCTGTTTGGATTAAGAGGGTGAGCAGTAACTTTCGTCTTTGAGCTCCTGAGAGTGCATGCAGAAGGAAAGTCTGGAAAGTGACTCTAAACGTCTCGTTTAATGCACTGTAATAAATGACTTGTGACACAACCCCCATTTTCCCTCATGGGTCTAGAGAGGGAGGTTTTCCATATATGTCGGCTTCCACATATTTTCCACTTCAGCATCAGTGTTGACATTAGAGCAGCCTTCATCCAGCTCGCTGGCCAGGCTCTCATGCTGTCTTTTGGGCCTGGCAACAAACCCATGCAGTCACCCACCAACCAGACTGATTTCTGATCACCTCTGTTGAAAACACTCGCTGTTGACTTGCCTCGCCCAGCGTAACTCGGTCAGCCCAGGTTTCCTTTTCGTGTTTCTCCCTCCCGGGGCCAGGCCTTCTCGTGCTGGCTTGGCCCTCAGTGGGCCCCCCCTCATCCTGAAGTCATGGGGATCCAGGGCATGGAGCTGTTTGCCATCGGCGTGGTCATCATCCTTTTCATGGCAGTTCTCAAGCAGTTTGGCATCTTGGAGCCCATGTCCTCATTTGAAGGTAAGGGCCCACCTGTGGCCCCTCTACTCGCTAACAGATACCTGAGGTTTGGTGCTATGGTTTTCTACAGCACTTATGCTGAGTCACTACTTCAGTCAGTAACACTTTAGTTTAACCCCCTATTAAACACTGACTGTATAAGGAACTTAGAAACATTAAATAAATGGTTCATAACAAACTATAATGTAGGTATACACAGTTATAAGTCGTCAGTTTTTAATTCTCCAATGAAGACATTATCTGTTTTTACACCAGCCTGCACAGGATGAGTTGATAAATACATAATAAACATCTGCTTACAACTACATCATAGTGTGTTATAAACCATTTATTAAAAGCATATAAATGCTAAATAGATAGTGAATTCTTACATTGCTAAACTCTAGTGGTATACGTTTGAGTAGAAACATTTAGGTTTACTTCCAAAGTTAAAAAATAACCTTATGTTGCTGTATTTCCAAATTTGGTGATAAACTGAGAAATGTTATGTTTCTTTAAGGAGTGACAAAATGACTACTTGGTAAGCTTTAAAAAGATAAATAAGCTCAAATTCTTGTTTGTATAAAACCGTAGAAGAGACCTGCCACCTACACACAGCTGCCAGTGGTTTGTGCAGCCATTCATCAATACTTGTGATTATTGTTTCCAAAGGAATAAGCCAACATTAAATGAAGGAAAGTGCCTGCTTTATTTTCACACCTCTTATAGTAATTATCATCCATGAGTCACATTTTTATAAGTTTATCTGGTGTATAATAATACCTGAGTTTATGGGCTGCACAATTAAATATTATCGAAAATCACAAAGTGCCAAGTGCAATATGCAAATCACAGGAGCTGCAGTTTTTTAAATAAAATATGTGACAAAAGAGCTGCAGTGCTGCAGAGAGGCCATGGCCTACAAATCTTGTCCTCAAGATGTAAGAAAATATGTTTGTTTGGTACAGACCCCAACAAATGTCACTGTATCATAATTTTAATAGTTTGTTTCAGTGAAAATTAAAATTGTGATGCAAAAATGGTCATACACACTGTATCTCTAACTGACCACACACTGTTAAACATGTTGCTTACACGTTAATGCGTCAGTAATAATAAATATGTCTATACTGTAGTATTGATAGTTGCACCTCTAATTATAATAATTCTGCCACTGTTTAAAGTCATTAATTGTCCACAGGGCTTCCTATACTTCAGTATATTTTATTTATATTACACTGTCTAGATCATACTTCACAAAGTGCTTCACAATAAAAGACAAAAGTGAGTCATAAAATACAGACAATATAAGAGTAATGAATAAAACAGAGATGAGGTATTGCAGTTTTAATGTCTTAATGGCTAATTTAACAAAGGACAACATCTGAAAATTAGCCTTTTGGCTAACACTAGCACATTTACAGTTATAGTAAACAATTTACTCTGTAAAAATAAATGAATATAATAAATAAATAAAGAGTGACCAAGGGGTTTATGAAGCTGGTTGTATAATCTCAATGTCAAAATAAAAGTCTATAAAATAAAATGGAAAATACTATATAATCACTATAGTACTATGTGTTATTTTAAATGTACTGGTCCTGGACTATCAGAAAATATATGTATGGCATCAGAGAGGGAAACTTTAATGGGATGTTTTATTTTGCCTACTAAGGAATACACCATAAAACCTTGATGGGTCGGTAGTCTCTGTACATTTGGGACTGTAAAAGAGCCATCAGACGCTGCTCTTTGACTGATGCAGTACCCTTTGATTAGAGTTTTGGGCTGAAGTCCAGACAGTCGGAGTGCGCTGCAGTCAGTGTGCCAAAACAATTACAGCAGGAAGGCTCCAGTCAGTAACATTAGTGCTTCTCATATGGCTCGGCATTATAAGTAATAAATTCAACAAAAACACCAGTAATGTCCATTTATTATTTATCACTCCTCTCAATCTCTCCGATCTTCAATTCCACCAATAGCGCCCCCCTCCTTCCTCCTCCTTCCTCCTCCTTCCTCCTTCTCCTCCTCCTCCCTCTGTGGCAAGGCCTGAGAGGGAGGTCTAGCATTACTCCACATCAATTATACATGCGGTATCGAACAGGCTTTCTTTCAGGTAGCCTAAATATGGAGTCTGGAGCACTCCTCCAGGACCCTGAAGGACACTGGCTATTCCTCAGTAGCCTCAGAAATTCTCATCATGTGTCTTCATCCTGATTCCTGCCACTTCATTACTTCATCAGCTCCCTGAGTGGGTTAACTTACCAACTGCAGCATCATTATCTCATCTCCTCGAGCATCTTCTCATCGACCTAAACACATTAATCTGTTTGGCCAACAGATTACGCTGAAGGCATCTTTTACTCTCTCTCCAACCTGTCTTCATGTAGGAAAATGGTTAATGATATTAATGAAAGGTAACTCTTCAGGATACACAAGTCCAGATGTTCATGCTCCTGGTCGATTGGATAGAAATAGACTCTAAAAGCAGCCCCACTATAAATATCATCTTTGTGATGGTCACAGGTGTTATTGAGACTCTCGCTGTGGTGCTGATTCAGTTCTGCAGTCATTCATGAGTTTGCCGCTCCGTAAACTTGCACCGTGGCATTTGACATTGTAGTTTCTGTTTGAGGTTATTCTTCAGTTTAGGATTTGGGTATTTTTGTGAGTGTTTCACTTGTAGCATCAAGGAGAATGAGGTGACGTCCTCAGAAATATTTCTGGGAATTTGAAAGGTTCAATGATATGAAGAAAAGTTTTCATTCTACAGTTTTATTATTACATAATTTGATCTATTAATCAGTCACTACTTCAGTCAGTAACACTTTAGTTTAACCTCCTATTAAACACTGACTGTATTAGCAACTTATAAACATTAAATAAATGGTTTATAACAAACTAGGTATACACATTAATGAACAGCTGCTTAAAACTACATCATAGTGTGTTATAAACCATTTATTAAAAGCATATAAATGCTAAATAGATAGTTAATTCTCACATTGTCTGAGTAGAAACATTTAGGTTTACTTCCAAAGTTAAAAAATAGTTGCTGTATTTCCAAATTTGGTGATAAACTGAGAAATGTTACGTTTCTTTAAGGAGTGACAAAATGACTGGTAAGCTTAATAAAGATAAATAAGCAGTCGTACTGTAGGAGAGACCTGCCACCTATTACACAGCTGCAGTGGTTTGTGCAACCATTCATCAATATTTGTGATTTTTGTTTTATTATTTTATTATTTGATCTATTAATCAATAAATAGTTTGGTCTATAAAACATTAAAATAGTGAAAAAACAACGTTATTATGTCTTCAAATAGCTTTTTTTTGTCTGACCAACATCCCAAAAACCCTAAATATTCATTTTACTCTAAAGAAAGACAAAAAAAGCAGCAAATTCTCACTTTTAAGAGCCATCAAATGTCAACTCTGCTGTTGATTGAATATTATTATTATTATTATTATTATTATTATTATTATATGTAAATATAATAATAGTAATGTATTATATATGTGATCAAATAATGTCTGAAAGAGATCGTTGACTTTCCACATTCAGCATCAGCAGTACATCAGGCGCCCTTTATCAATCAGCAGACCAATAAAGTCTGGTAGCTTATTTGTTGCATTATTTATATCATCAGCACTCAAGAAAAGATCCATTGATTTACTAAAAATACACGCATTGACACTCTTTGTGTGTGTGTCCGTCCACATATGTGTGCGTCTAGTTAAATGATCTGATCTAAAACAAACAAAAAACTCAGGCCTTTGATTGTTGTTTCAGTCCTTTCTGCTCTGATGTCGATTTTGGGTTCAGTCCAACTTGGTCCTATTTTGGGCTGACATCTGATGCCCGAGGTAGCCTTGTCTTTGGAGATGTACAAGCCCTATTCTGGGGTTCTCTGATACCAATATCTCGTATTTTTACTCCACATCTGACTCTTGTCCTGGATATTTTAGTGGGGAGTAACATCAATATACTGTAAAGTGATGGGGAGGAAATGAGTAGTTTTATTTGTTCCTCTTTGACTTGTTTGTTCTTCTCCTCATGTTTTGTCGCACAGTTCATTTAACAGATGACTCATGAGATTACTTTTGTACTTTTAGATGATTTGATGGTAACATTATCCATCCATCTATTTCCTAAAACTGCAAAACCAAAGTTACAAAATTTAAGTCAAATATTGGGTAACTATAAATACCCAATATCTGAAAACCTAACATTGTACATTGAAACTGGCCTTTAGAGTCGTTCTTCTCCTCCTCTCCTCTTCTCTCTTCTTCTCCTTATTTGTTTTCCTCATTTTGATTTTAAATGATATTTACAAGCATCACACAACATTAAGACACCGAATACACTGTCACACTCTCACCCTGTGTTACAAGATTTTGGCATAAAACTAATAAACTAATAAATCTGAGAAGTAGCATTTTCTCTGTAAAAATATAAATGTAGCTCTAACTGATGATTGGTTCTTCTAGAGGAAAGTATTAACTCCAAATGTCTAAAATCCTCATGTCCCTCCTCCCTGTTGAGTTGTTTCATTCTGATTTTCTTACAATATTTGTGCCCTCAAACTGTCCAGGCACCAAAATTCAGACGAAAGAAACTGAGTTGATAAGTCACCTTGAGTTATTAATATGTGCTGACAGCAATGAGCTTAAGGAGCTGATTGTGCGATTTGAGACTTTCATTTGCCCTGGGTTTTTGTCTCTCAGGCCACATACAGTCCACCGTACCTTATTGGTGGAATTTGTTGGTGCTGTATTCTTTCCGAGATGAAGTCTGCAGGTAAACCTCAGGGCTGAAAAAGTACTGTCACCTATAATCTGCATTAAAGGCTCACAGGCAGGCCTGTACGGGATATAGGCAGGCAGGCAGGCAGGTACACATACAGGTAGGCGGACAGGCAGGTACAGATACAGACAGGCGGACAGGCAGGTACAGGTGAGTATGAGGTTCAGGTAACAGCAATAATACAGAGTGGCTGGATGTGGGAGTGAGACTGGAGAAAAAGAGCATCTAGTGGGCAGGTAGAAAAAAGGGCGTAAACAGGTGTGGCGAAGTAAGAATGTGATTGGAGGGAAGGACAGAAGTAGATTGTTACAGGGTAAATTTCACCCATAGGACACCATATGTGCACCAAGCAATGGACCATAAATGCGAATAGAGAGATAAAAAACAATTTTCTACATCTAGGATGAAGTTACCTGTTCGTTAAACAATGGCTGCACAGTCTCTGTTCCTGTTTTGTCATTAGTCTCCACTAGGGGGAGCATTTTGCTCACTGTTTCCCTTTATTCCATTATTATGAGTGTTTGACACAGTATTAAATCTGTGTTATGGACCCCAAGAGAGACAGGGGAACAATTAGAAAGTGGATCACAGAGCTGACTGGGAAAATGGGATTCAGGACACCTGTTGACCTTTGTCACCACCCTCTCTGATTCCTTAAAGGCAGGACTTAATTAGCAGACAATAAGATGTGAGATGGAGGGAGGAAAGAGAGGAGGAAGTTGCAGAGCATCTGTCATTCAGTCAGTGGAGGTTTTTGTGACACATATCACCTCTGGACAAATGCTGGATATCATTTTTTTTCCCCATTATTATTTGCTTAGAGTTTTGTCATCAACTAGAGGAATAATATTCATCGGAGGAATCCCAAAGCAAAAAAACATGATGTGAGAGGTTCCTCTCTACCTGATTGGATTTCCTATGGATTAACGTGGTGGTTCAGATATTTTGGAGGGGAGATTTTTCTGTCTCTCACTCTCTCTCAAGAGGTATTTTTACTGCAATTATCTAAACCACTTGACCTCAATAAAGGAGTTGGACCGTCAGACCCTGCTCTTAGTTGTGGAGAATATCCTGGAAGATCCATTTGAGCAGGAGAGACAACGGGGGGTAAAAAAGGGCAGACAATTAAAAAAGGCAGAAGGAGAGAGCTAAAGAGAGTAAGAGAAACTGCAGGATAGAAAACTGTGATGTCTGAGTGACACTGTTTCTGAGATAGGAAGCGATAGAGAAGAAGAACAGAGAGAGAGAGGCTGAAAGACATTGATCGGATTGAAAGAAATGTGTATTAAAAGTCCAATAATGTAGTAATAGAGGAAAACAAAGACAAGGACCGTGGAGGAAAAGATAGAAGACGAGGGGAAGATGAGTGTGAGGTGGGAGACGGAGGGACTGCAGACAGTTGGCATCGTCTGCCTGGTGATCATGTTCCTCAAACTGATGCACCTGCTGGGCCTGATCGACATCACTGAGACCGGTGAGACAACCTGGGAGAGGGGCAGTGAGGAGGAGGAGGAGGAGGAGGAGGAGGAGGAGGACATAGAGCGAGGAGTGACATTTTTGAATTGTATCCACTTGTAGATTCTTGTGAATGTTGTTTGACTCAAGTATAAATAGTTGTAAATCATGAGAGGAGTAGAAGTAGTTGTGAGGTGCTTACAAAGACGAGTACAAAGCGTGTAAATAATAAAGACTTTTTATCTGGTTTTCAATAAATACATAACTCTGTAAATATGTAAAAGTATAAAAATTGGTCACAATTATATAGTTTTATATAGTTATATATGTATATAAGGTTCACCAAGAGCTAGGCACTGTAGTTGTTAGCAAATGTTACTCAAACAGGAGTAAAGAGTGCATTTGTTAGGGACTATTTTCTGCTGGGTATGAATACATATTTAGTTTAATTTACAGCACCAGGAAGCACCAGTTATTCTTAAGTTCAAACAAAGTGTTTACTATGTTGTATGCATTAATAAATACAATGTATAGAGATGAGTTGTTATTGAATATGTATACAGTAGCAGCCAGCTGAAGCTAGCTAATTGAGCTTACTGACAAAGTTAACATTAGCTTGCTAATAAACAACCCATCAAAGGCTGATATGGAGTACGGTTGAAATACCTGATCCCGTCACATATTACATCTGATCAAACTATTATCATTGTTATTTTAACTTATTTGTTTGGAGCAGAGCAACATGGGACTTACTTTTGATTTTTATCAATGGGAGTGTTCATCTGGTGAAGGAGGTCAGAGGTCGTCTCGTGCTGTCTCCTTTTCACTTTGTGTAGGTTGAACCATCGGTGTTACATAAGCGTGGATCTCCCCCCTCCTCTGTGGTTTTTATGTTTCACAGCATATTATATTTCACTGCTCTGCTGGGTGTTTTATCAGAACATAACTTGAGTGTTTTCCACTGGACCGCTCAGCTCCCATTTGATAACCTCTCACTGATGTGACTTGACTTGTTTTTTCTTTGTTTTGTTTTTTTTCTTCCTCTTACTATCACTCTCTCACTCTTCTTCATTTACTCTCTGTCAATCCATCTTGGCGTCAACACCCATCCTCCTCCTCCTCCTCCTCCTCCTCCTCTGTTCTCACTGTCTAAAGATGGTAAGTACGGTAATGGTAGAAAAACCCAACTGACTCCTTTTATTTTGAATGTTTTCTTTTTCCCCGGTCGTGCAGTGCTTTCTCTTAGTGGGTGTGAACTGGTAACAGATAATGCTGCGACACTTAATTGTGACTTTGATTGAATTTCTCAAATTCTTATTTTCTGCAGTGGCTATAAAAAAAGCAGATCAAAGCAATACTTGTTTGGTGACATTTCTGCCATAAAGAAAGTACCTCCTCTTCTTTTTAACTCCCTCGTTCGCCTGCCTTTTGCTCCTCTACAGTTTTTTGCCAAATCTCTCTCTGAAACTCGCACGTTTTCCCCACCTGCTCTGTAACAGATGGCTCCCTGTTGAATGTGATCCCACCCCTCCCTGAATGTTGACCTGCATCCACACACTCAACGTCTGCCCCATCCTCCCTCTTTTTTCTTTTCATCTTTTCCCTTCTTTACATCACTTCTCTCTCCCTCCTTCTTTTCTCTCTTCCTGTGTGTCTACCCATCCCTTTCTCTCTCTGTCTGTGTCTTTCACCCACAGACAGCAGCGACAGTGATCTGGAGCTGTCGACGGTGCGTCACCAGCCAGAGGGGCTAGACCAGCTGCAGGCTCAGACCAAGTTCACCAGGAAGGAGCTTCAGTCTCTCTATCGAGGCTTCAAGAATGTGCGTGCCGGCTGCTGAAACGTTCTTCGCTGCTCCACCTCCTCCATTATAATGCTTTATATAGATTTGAATTATTCTAATATATATCACTTTTTTTCTCTCTTGAGCAGGAGTGTCCCAGTGGGATGGTTGATGAGGAGACATTCAAGACCATCTATTCTCAGTTCTTTCCCCAAGGAGGTTAGATGTTAAAACAATCTCTCCTCTCTTGTCCTTTCTTGTTAGAGACTGTATGGAAATTATTAGGTTTTTCTTTTGGCTGAAGGTGTTCGGAAAAATATGAATTTAATGTTTAATATTCAAGATTTATATTTTATTTCAACATCTTGCAAAAAAACGATCAGTTCTTTAGTCAAGCATAGTCAAACATATGTTTAAGATTATGACAGTGGTGGAACAAGTATACAGAGCCATAGATCAGTGTAGAAATACACTCTTAGAAAATGTCCTGCATTTAAAATCTTACCTTAGTAAAAGTATTTTTAGTAAAATGTATTTAAAGTATCAAAGTAAAAGTACTGTAGAATGATTACTGTGTTATATGTATATTATCGGATCAATGTTAGCGATGCATTAATGTGTAAGAAGCATTTGCCTAATTCTAATTTTATTATTATTTTATAAATGTTATATTAATAAAGTCTCTGCAAAAGTCCCAATGTTATAAAAACAATTCAGGCTATAATTATTAACTGATAATGAAACAGTCTCAATTTAATCTGATGCCTCTATATGACCTACATAAACAAACCAGATTGTCTATTTCTGTAGTTTTGCCATTAGCAGAAGAAAACAATTGGTGTCTGTATCAGAGCTTCATGTCCATGTAGCTACTGCAGAAGAACCAATATGTTAATTATAAGAAACAGTAGATGTTGATCTTTATAGTTGGAAGTGATTGAACAGAGAATGTTAAATGTATCATATAATTAACAATGTAATGCATATCGGAACAATCCAACCTGTTCTACTAAAGTTAAAGTATGATTAAACACAGCACACTAAATCTATTACTCTAACTCCTTTTGTCCACAGATGCAACCACCTACGCTCACTTCCTCTTCAACGCATTTGACATCGACAGAAACGGTTCAATCCGCTTTGAGGACTTTGTCATCGGCCTGTCGGTGTTGCTCAGAGGTTCAGTCACTGAGAAGCTCAACTGGGCCTTTAACCTGTACGACATTAATAAAGACGGCTACATCACCAAAGAGGTACATGTGGGTTAGGGTATGTGTTTGAGTTGTAAGAGAGAAATTATACGCACATCAGGTGGGTTCAAGGCTAACACCTACACACACTTACTCAGTGCCACAAAAGTTTATTAATGAAATATAAATCATACTTTTTTTATTTAAACACAACTCTTGGACAACTGTATGTAGAAGCTTTGGCTCTTGATGTTTGACTTTCTTTGATGAATTATGGAAAAACGTGTTTATATTCTCCAGCTAAGGTATATAAGAAAATCACTTTTGTTTCAGTTCAGGAACTCAGGTGTTGTAACGTCATCAGTATAAAAAAATCTGTTGTTTCTTCATCCATGTGTCATGTATAAAATCTCAACCTGTTTGTTTTGTCCAAACAACATCGATCTATTCAACATATAATTCCAAAATATTTTAATTAAATATTTGGGTAAACACCAGTGTCACCAATGATCTGCTCCATTCAGCTCAAACAGAGTCAGGGTGCTGCTGTTGTGAATGTTGCTAAACTAAATTGAACAGGACCTTAATTAGTATCACACCTGTGATTATTCTACTATTTCATGTCAAAATGGCTGCTGTGAAAAAGGTCTATATCGACAAAACCTGATAAATTACTAAAATTACAATTACATTCTGGACAATGTAACGTTTAGTCTATGCACCGCAACTTCAGGTCAAACCAATGTCCTTAAATGTCTCTCTGAGGGGCCCTGCAGTATTCATGAGAAATCCCTTTTTGAATCTAGTCTCGTCCGTGTTAGTAAAGTCAGTCTCATTCACATATAGAGATAAATCTAGCCACAGTGCATGGTGGAAAACAATGTAGAGTTTGTTGTTTTAACTTTTTCTTGCTTCTGACCTCTTCTCTTCAGGAGATGCTGGCGATTATGAAGTCAATCTATGACATGATGGGGAGGTACACCTACCCCTGTGTGCGAGATGAGGCACCCTATGAACACGTGGACAAGTTCTTCCAGGTACAAGTACACTGTGCTACAAGGCCTCTCTTTAATATCTACTCAAAGGATGATTACAAAGCACCCTCAAATGCTCTCACCAACTTGTCCTTTCTCTGTTTTGTGATTCTTTCTTTTTCCGACAGAAAATGGATAAAAACCGAGATGGTGTAGTGACCATTGAGGAGTTCATTGAGACCTGTCAGAAGGTGACTTTCACTCTTTCACTCTTACAAACTAAATCTCAGTTACTCAGCAGCACAAAAAGAGCTGTGTACAACAGGTCATGGATCGGTGCCTTTAACAAAATGATGTCACTGGTTATACAAGCACTGACTCATTCACAAACACCGTAAAGCATCACTCATGTTTTTGAGAAATACCTCACTTCCTCGTCTCCATCCTGATTCACATCCACGCACTCGACATCATCTTATAATTTGTGATCGTCTTCTTATTTCCCACCACCTCTCATTCACACAATCACTATAAGAAAGTGGATTAAACCTAATTTCCTTTCTCAACACTTGACATTCGTGCAATAATCATTAGGCGCACTAGACTCATTTTATTGTCAGTTTAATAAGGCTCTGCTATCCCCTTACTATCAGTTGTGCTTGTAATTTTCAGATGTATTTTGTTTATTAAACTTAGCAGCTCAATTATGTGGCACAAACCAACGCAAAACCTACGCTTACAGTAGGAAGAGAAGTAAGAAAAGGAGGAAAAAGACATTTGTTGTTGGTAGTTTTGGTGGTTAAGGATGTTAACCTCACTCTACTCGACTCTTGAATATGGATAGGAGGTACACTAAATGCTTTAAATTACTTCTAAGACTGAGCCACACACAGTAAGGGAGTGCTATATGTACTGTACATCACCCCAAGAACAGGTTATGTGTCTGTTTCTGGGTCTTACACACAGTTCTTCTTGTCCTTACTGTCAGGCAGACATGGCTGACTGGTCTCCATTGAGGAGGCGGTGGTAAAACCTCCCATTCTCAGGGTTGTCACTTCAATCACACGTCCACTGAGCTGGCCTCTTGTTGTAATTCTTTTGCCACAAAACTAACCTAATGTACATGAGGTCCAAGATTAAACTATATGTGTCCACTCAGTTTGGGTTTGATCTTTAAACATCCGTGGAGCTCTGACTCACATGGGGTTAATAGATAATGAGTGAATATTCAGTTTGAGCTGATCTATCTGTGTGTTTCATTGACCCCAAACTCAAACATTGGGCAATACATGTGCTGCAACTTTGCAGCTGCTCAAACATGCTTTAATCAAAAATCACCAAAGGAATGAAAAAAAGTATTTGGCTTCTCATTAAGGAGAATTGGTTGAACTTTAATACTAAAACCAGTATTTTCTGACTAATAATAAGAAAGAGCTTTGAATATTGATGAATTACAAACAATTTGATAGTGCTAAGTACTAACAGTACTGACAGCTTTGAATGAACACTAAAATTAATCCTTTTTGTCTGGAAAGACTTGACTAGAAGCTACATTGTCACTGTGGTCACTTGATAAAAACAGTATTATGTTTAAAGGTCTGTCTAAAGGACAGAGGGTATTGAATGTTGTACAGACTGTAAAGGTAAATAATTAATTGTAATTGTGGGGTAAGAACTACAATTTGACTTTGACTTTTACTTCAGACGTCTGGTGACAAATGTTTTTCTTTATCTTTGTTTCCAGGACGAGAACATCATGAACTCCATGCAGCTGTTTGAGAACGTGATCTAAAGAATCACGATGCTCTCAGTTGTTGTCCTTAATTCGCCCACGTGCACAACTCACACACAAAACACAGCACACACCCATGCAAATCAAACTCCACACTAACACATGACGTCCAGACACATAAAGTAGGTACTGTAAAGATAAAGGAACTAAACTTTTTTTTTCTATTTCTGGCCGCGCTACTTTAGCTGTATCTTGCAACTGCTTGTGGATTAAAAAGGACTGCTACAGACGGAAGAAGAGCTTCCTGGGTAAAATTCCCCATCTATCCAGTTTTTTTTTTAGTTTTTTTTTATCCTAAATGAAGAAACAGAAGACCTTTTTTACCGTCAGACGAAAAGAACCAACAAGGAATAAAGAAGCTTACTGTACAAATAATCCACCGACCTGAGCACACAAGGATTCTAGTTTTAACACTAATACACCTCATCTCTCACACACAGTGTCTCTTTCACACACACAAACCTGTTCCCTCAAGGGGTTTTAGAGCACTGGATGAAGTGAACTAACAGCAGCACAAAAAAAAAATTTAAAATCGCAGTGACACAAAAAAGAGAAATGAACTAAAGCATGTTTGTCATCAAATATGTGATGTGGAATTAGCTTGCACTACAATTTTATGACTATGTATTATATGCGCCTGTAATAAAGGCACTGTAGATACCTGCACCCGATACACCACTGGTGTATGTATATATGTATAGTTAATAGTTATATACCCTACGTCGTATTGGTCTCATCTGTGCTGCACTGGGTGATGGAACAGGACCAGAACTGAATATTTGTTTTAGAAGTCTCTGTGTTAATCAGTTTAACATCATGTTTAGTAGCAGTTCTTGACCAAATTTAAATGTTTTATTCAAATATTTCTCCTTTTTTTTGTATTTTGGAGATTTATGTTTTGCTGGTCCGATTGGAAAACTGAGTAAGTAAGTTTGAAGAAACAAAAGGACTGTTATTAGGTGTGTTCTTGCGCTGAATTAAAGCTTTATTGGTTCTTCAGTATCTGCGAGCATGCTGAATCTTAAGTGCCACAGTATTATGTACAGTACAGTAGGACCTTTGTGATGTCAGTTAATTAAAGATGCTGTTAACAGCTGCGACTTCTCCTTATTATTGCGTCCCTTCACTACATTTCCTTCCTGCATTCAGATCATGAAGCTGCAAAAATTGTACGTGAACAAACATGAAGTAAACATGAAGTTGCTGACCGTTAATCAGTCAGCAAATGTGAGGTGTGAAAATAGCCTGAACATACTGCGTGTTGAGAGAGTTATTACTTTTGTGGTTGAACATGCAATCCATGCAGCTCACAATGTGACATCTATATTGTTATTCTTCATCAAAGCATTCCTCTAAAGTTCAAACCAGGTTAACCTAACACACACATACACGCTCACCTCAAACAACTGGAGACAACATTCTGGTGCACAAAGGCTTCAGATATGGTCAGTGTGTTTACATACACCTGATTAGATAAATCATGTTATGCAGGTAATCTGAAAATCAACGCATTGTAACCTATAAATCTGCATATGCATGTAGATTCAGTGTGTTTACATGTACTTAAACCCTGATCCCTCATAATTACTGTTGACCTGTATCCCCAACATGAATGAAGACCTAAACAGCCCATTCTGTGGAAACAAATTTAACATATCTATATGATCTGAAATGATAATTTACCTAATATTGAGACCTTTTCTTGTAGAAGGCTTCCAGGTTATAATGTGGTTTTACAACTTTTATTATTTTGGTTTATATTGTATATATAGTGCTTATGTGATCCTATTCCTAAATACATTTTGTTTTGTTAAATCACTGAAGCGTACACAATTATGCACAGTCTGGGAGTAACAGGAAGTCAGTAAGCGCTCACATCTAATTTTGCCCTGGGGTCCTCCTTCAGGGTAATCTGGCCCTGATCAGGTGGCCAGAGACATTAATGCTAATGTTGGTCCTTGTGAGCTGGTTAGTCACAGGCTCATTGTTTTATAACATGCCATGGCAACATGGTAGATTTGAGTTAATCTGCCCCCAAGTGGCCATAAAATGTATTAATACAGTTTAGATAATAAGGCAGTGCCCATATGTTCATGTAACAGTGTCTTTAGGTGGTATATTCCAAACCTGTATTTCATCAAAGCACTACAACCTTAACAAACATATTACTATACTCCAGTAGAGACTCTAAGGAAAGCTAATTTGTTATGCAAGGCAGAATTAAACTGGACATTTTCATACATTACATATTATTCACTTTATGCAAACAATCCTTTCGTCTCTTGACTTGTGTTTATTAGGGGACATATCTTAAACTAAAGACCATGTTTTATAAAGATTTCAAATATCCTGTAACTCTCAAATAACTGTATCTACTTGATACATGTACCAAGCGTTCCTGTAAAATCAATAATATCTCAGTAAAAAAAAAAGTATTTCAACCTCACCACAAGTTTTTGCAACTTTCTGGCTCAGCCCTGTTATCCAACCTTGTGCCAAATGGTTAGGCCATAACTACCAGGTCCAGTGTGTGAATGTAGGCCAAGAAAGGCAGTGCAAATAAACAACCATCAGATGGCAGTGTGGTGGAAACAGGGATGTCTCCACTGTGCCTGATGACCGAGCAGATAGACCCCCATTTTTTAAATAACATTTTGGGGGACCATAGTGGTTAAAACACCCAGGTTATGTATGAAAGGTCATTATTACAAAATCTCTTGAAGGCACTGTCACCAAGAGCCTCACAGGGGAGCGTCACCGCTAAGCCCGCCTCTGATTGGCTGAGCCGCCGTTCCAGGGCGGGGCGAGAGGTGGACGCTTGACGTCACGGCTGGATGTGGGCATGCGCGGTGAGCAACGTCAACCCCGTGGCTTTATGAAAGGCGAAATCCCTCCATGAGCGGAGCGTGCGGTCGCTGTTTATAACCCGTCTGCTGGAGAGAGAGAGAGAGAGCGGCACCGTGAGTCGGACGAACCAGGCTCTCTGAACACGGCCTCATCTCGGTGCCACAGTCCCGTTTTGTTCGGCCCTAACCTTCCGGCTTCAAGTGCGGGCTCGTATCTTCGCCCTCCCTCCTCCTACAGCACAAACCACGGGGACGAGCCAGCGGACGGTAACGTACGAGAAGGGAAGTGAGCTCCGTCTTCATCACGCAGGTGAGCACAAAAAACGGGACTTTTTTTTTTTTTTTTAATCCCCTCCTTTAGTCTTCCCAGTGAGACAGACCTGGCGTACATGTGGATGTCGGGGAGGAAGGGTGTATAGAAACTACTCTGCGTGGTCGCAGGAAGCCGGGGATCGAGCTAGCGGCGTTTAGAGAGCGGTAGGAGATGTATCAGCGTTAAAGGGCTCTCCTCCGGTTGCTACCTTAGCTGGAGGACTTTGCGTGCCGGGGTTGTCTGCTGAAGTGTGACCGTGACACACAGGCGAGGACCAGTTAAGTCTGGCTGAGGCAAATGCATTTCACCCCGCAGCAAATACTTATCTTAATGGCGTGGAGGCCCTCAAGGTTTCTAGATATAAGGGTTTTATTGTGACTGTAAAACAACAAAACATACAATTATAGGAAGGCCAAACACGCTTCGTTACTTGGCATCGACCCTTTTGCATGAATGAGACCCCCATGAGGGTAGAGTTGGTCCGAAACACTGACACACTGGAGCTTATTTGGCCATTAGGATTTATTGGCTCTTGATGATGGGATTGTCCTGGAAACGAGGGTAGGCAGGTGTGTGTGTGTGTGTGCATCTGTCAAGCAAACATTCATTACCAAACCTGTATAAATGTATGGCAGAGAAACATACAATGTTAGTGGATAAAGCTGCTGGAGTCTGGAATTGGGGCGAGATCTAAAATAACTTTTATTAAGCCCTTGATGTCAAAAACCAGCTCGACTGTCAGAGTTTGGTTTGGTGGAGTTTACTCAGTCAGAGTAGGGATTTCTGGCAGGACTTCACCAGCTTTGAAGTCTCATGGAGAACTTAAATAGTTTCGAGGTCAAAACTCCCGCAACATGTTTAGTATAATTAACTTTTATTGTGATGCTTTTCAGCTAATAAGAACAACAAAGTAGGTCTTTATTCTACAAATGCTGCATGATCTTTGGCCTCTGGTTTCTTTGTTTACTCACCAGCAATTCTGATATTAAATACTATAAAGCTGACGTCGACAGGTTTTCATACTGTTGCGACGACCATCATTTGCACATCATGTCCATAAAAGAGGAAATTGAGTGTTGTACGCAGTCATGACACGAGACTAGTTCTTGTAGGAAATCCAGAGTTTTTGTTGTCTGCATTAATCTGACGCACATTTTCACAGTTTCCCTTCATTATGGTGTAACCAGCAGGTTTTTATACCTAATGGTGAAGTGCAAGTCTCAGATTTTTAGGCTGTTATAGACTACAGGGAATATCTTGGAGATGCACTCACCTAATACCCCCAAGAAATGTTTGAGCAGCTGACTATTCGGCAGGCCAGTTGGATTTATCTGACTCTTCTCATGTGTTGAACTCTTATTGTGAGCCAATGAATTCTGGTAAGAAGTGCGTACTCCCATGGGGTAAGCACAACTGTTAAAAACAGTAATTTGTCCTTCTATAAATTAGATTTTTCTCCTATAGGGTAGCAGAGCAGTAGGAAAACTGTAGGATGGTGTTAACTGTTTAGTGCTTGGTTTTAGGCATGTTAGCGGTATGTGTGTTTGCACTCTTCTACACTGTAGACACGCAGTTTAGACCAGTGTTGGAAGTGTTTTATTTAACCAATAAAGTGTCCTTTTTGACGTGTTTATTTTCTATTAGTTAATTCCTTTAATCCAAGACAATTAACCCTGAAACTGGTTTGAAATATCCTGATGAGTGTTCTGCAGTGTATTTTTATGTCAAGTCCTATCTATAAGTGGCTATCTTGTATTTAAATTTTAAATTAAGTTTTTTTTTTTTTTTAATTACATTAAGTGATTTGAGCACCTGCTTAGTGTTACAGTTGGTAGTACAATCTGTGTGCACAACACTATTCTTGTGTGCAGAGTATTTTGCATTGATTGCACCTGTGCCTGCAGTTTGAATAGGACTTGTAACTATATCTTGTGTTGTGGCACGCTGGTGTGTGAGAGGAAGACCAAGGTTTGTCTCCGCTTCATTGAATTCTACTGTTGTCCACGTCAAACAACAATGGCCATATTGGTGCACAGCTTGTATGTGTAGTTACTGCTTTCAACATTGAGCCTTAAAACTGAACAACTGTGGAACTGTGTCAATTATTTTAGGATTTAGTATCCTGCTGAGTCACCCTCAAAACCAAGCAAAGGGCCAGACTAAGTTTTATTAGGCAAGTGTGCATACCAGGAATTTGGTTACCAACAGCTCACATGCACATTCATGTACAGCCAGGCCAAAACAAGCATAAACGTATAAAAATAAAGGTTGCGAAGGCAAGAAGCCATAGAAACAGAGCTAAACACTGAACAGCTGAACTTGGGAAGGGTTTCAGGTTTAGTCCTCACAGTTCTCCAGATAACTTAGTAAACCTGCTTCTTGGCAGTGTCTCCACTTCAGACTCGTCTCAGATCTGACCGATGAGGGTTGGGGAGTTTGACAACGACGACCTCTCACTTGATGATGTGAAGGCAGAAGGGCTGTAGGGACAGTTGACATCTCTAGGTGGTGCTAGTGCTGACTGTACAGGTGCTGACTGCTACAGGTGCTGACTGTACAGGTGCTGGATGTAAGGTTGTCCAGCGTCACTTCTTCCTGTCTGCAAGGAAGTTGATGATGCAATATTTGAGGAGATATGCCAGCAAATGATTGAAATATATAAAGTTTATTTCCTTGTTCTTAAGTTATCCATCATGTTTAAAAAGTCATTTGTGTTTAAAATGCGATAACGAGTTACAAAATGTCACTGCATGAGAAATGTGTCTTGACTAGTACATTTGGTGTATTTCTTAATTTTTATATTTTTATTTTACTTATCCATTCCCAAAGCATCCAGAGTGTCCATCTTTTCCTGTATGGACGTTTGTCTCACACGTGTTGGTTAGTACAGCCTCCTCTTACCTTTCTATTTAAAATAACAACCATGTTTCAGCCCAAAACATAGAGAGTGCTGTGTGTCGTTCATTATCAGTACTAATCTAGGCATCCTGAAAAGTGCTAGGTGCTGACCAGGTAACGCCTCCTGTTGTTCTTAGATGAATTAGTACATGTCCACGTGCAGCCATCAGTCAGGCTCATGAACATATTGTTGTTCCCCATTTCCCTGAAAGGTGCTTAAATACAGTTGCTTAGCAAGTTTATCTGCAGTTCAGCTTGTACAGAAAGCCGCAATTATCACAAGCATCATGTCCTCTCAGCTCTTTCCCTGATTAAAGCTTTCTTTTGAGGCTTTCGCAGAAGCTCCTCCTTAGTAGTAAATGGATATAGAGCAGAGGATCACCTCACAGGATGTTGGGCCAGGCTGGGCCAGGAACAGGCACAGTGAGGTGAACTGGGTCACAGAAATGGATTCCTGGCCCTGTTTGCTGTAGGCAGCGTGTGACTAAGATTACAACATAGTGCTGGGTCATGCTGTGCCTTCCCACTGTACTGTGTGTGTGTGTGTGTGTGTGTGTGTGTGTGTGTTGCATTGTGGGTGGTAAATGGTAACATTTTGGCTCCAGATAGTATGTCCTTAAATAACACTTTTTTGTTGCAGTTTATTGTTATTTTTTGTTAAGTGAAGTAAAACGTGGCTACACATTGTGGCTTTCTAATCTTCAGTTTGTGTGTGAGATGAAACAAAGGGAGTAAAATGGGGATTAAATGGACAAAGGCAGCATAGCACACCATATGATTCTTGCATAACAAGGACTGAACAACATAGCCAGCAGTATTAAACTAAACTACAGTAATCACTATACCCGTATCAGAGAAGGATTTATTCTCCTCAGTGCCAGGAAAGTGATGTTTGTGAGCTGTTACTGATACTTCGGGGCAAGTTCAGGATGATATCCGCTCTTTACTGCAGAGGTATCCTGCTGTGTCAAAATAACAATAGCCCCTAATCGGCCATCCATCACAGAGGACATTCCTCTGTTGCGTGTGTGGCTGGCTGTTATAGCTGCACGCAATGACCGTCTACGTGCAATTGCACTGTTTTCACAATTAGATATAAGTGTCAGTCATTTTGCCTGGTCTCATCTGGCATGGTCTAACGAGTTAGTGAATAAACAAGCATTCAATTGATTTCTTTTTGTATTTTAAAGATTTTCTCTGAGTGGGGATGTGTGGATGGAAGAGACCAGTGGGGCCACCTATTGATTTATCAGGGATACATTTATATGTTGGTGCAGATGTTCGTGTTTGTGTGGTAGATTTTGAACTGAGGGGTTTTTTGAGTTAGTGTATCCTGCTATAGTTGCGATACAAAGTAGAGCCTGGCTGATACATCGGTCAGGCCTATTGCTGATATATTGGTATTAACGTGTATGTTGTCCGATATGTGCCGATATGAAAACATTTTTTTACGGTATGTAATGCAGAAAAAAAGTGTGTAGTGATATATTGGTGTCATTTAATTTACAAGCAGCACAGAGTAGGAGAGAAGAAGCAGCTCTCCGCAACAAGTCAACAAGAATTAGCTGATAATTATAATTAATTAAATTAGTAGCTTCCAGTGTGAAACATTTAGGAGGATCTATTGGCAGAAATGTAATATATAATATTCATAGGTATTTTTCATTAGTGTATAATCACCTGAAAATAGGAATTGTTATGTTGTTATTACCTTTTAGGATGAGCCGTTTCTATCTACAGACATAGCAGGTTTCCTTCTGTGGAGGCCGCAATGTTGAACGGCTGTGTTTCTACAGTAGCCCACAACGGACAAACCAAAAACTGGCTCTAGACAGGGCCTTTTGTGCTATTGTTTAAAGAATGGTGTTTAAGTTATTTGTTTAAGAAAGCAGCCTACCTTTGCATAGTCAAATGGGTGCACAATCCACATAGATGGGGTCTATTTTCATTCCAGCTCAGAAATTCACTATATTGGTTGCCATGTTGGTAATCAGTGAATTTTTCCCCTCTTGGCATCAGTCTCAAGAAGTTTGACATTTAAGTGATCAATTAATTTATCAAGAAAACAATGCTTAGTTGCAGCTCTAGCTAATATACAA